GTGGGTGGAAGGATGGATGGATGGGTAGATGGAAGGATATGTGGGTGGAAGGATGGATGGATGTGTGGATGGATGGATGGGTGAGTGGGTGGGTGGATGGATGGGTAGGTGGAAGGATGGATGGGTGAGTGGGTGGGTGGATGGATGGGTAGGTGGAAGGATGGATGGATGGATGTGTGTAAAACCAATGTGAATGAAATTGTTTTTAGTTATCCTGTACCATTGTAACTTCTGTTCACCATTTCATTACACTTGCCATTTTGCCTACATTGTAACTTCTGTGCCATATTGTAATTCAAACCCCATTTTAAAACGCGTACTCCATTTTGTAAGGGCTTGCTGCAACCTTCATTGTTGCAAACCCTGCTGTAATTTTATTAGTCTAATTAAGATGTGTGAATGAGGGATGCATGGGTGATAGAATCAACCTCCAGCACCAGCCCGTCCTGATGAGATAAAGTTCAAATACCAAGGGCTGAAGAACTAGACAACAGCCCTAACTCAAGCAAGAAGCATCCGCCCTAAAAAGAAACAACAGAAGGAAGATCAAAGCCAGGTCCCAGGCTGACAGTCGCGCCTGCAATTAACGGGTGATCAAGCACCAAACCCAGAGGCGGCGTGACACAGCGAGACCTAGGAACTTTGAATCCAAACTAAACTCCTATAAAAAAGGAAGGGTGAGAGGAGAGACTTTGGGTAACGTTCTGCTATCAACATCAAGGAGCATCGGTGCGCGCCCGACAGAGACCCGGCTCCTCCTCGTGCTCAGCTTTCCTGGCCAGTTAGCTGCCACGAGCTCCGATCCCAAGCTGCGAACTCAAACTACAATCAGGACTGGTAACTATCCAGCAGCTGCAGAACATTTTGGTGTGTGTGTGTGTGTGTGAGTATATGTGTATAAGCATTAAGATATTTGCTAATAGTTACAGATTAATAATAAATGTGTTATCTTTGTCTTGACCCCTAAAACGATCCTGTGTAAGTTTGTGGGACAACATGTGTGGGTGGAAGGATGGATGGATGGATGGGTGGGTGTGTGGATGGATGGATGGGTGGGTGGGTGGAAGGATGGAAGGGTGGATAGATAGATGGATGGATGGGTGGACGGATGGATAGAGGGGAGGGATAGGTGGATGGATGGTGGGTGGAAGGATGGATGGATGGGTAGATGGATGGATGTGTGGGTGGAAGGATGGATACATAGATGGGTGGGTGGATGGATGGATGGCTGGGTGGATGGATGGATGGAAGGATGGATAGATAGATGGGTGGGTGGATGGAAGGATGGGTGGGTGGATGGAAGGCT